TCAATTTTTCCAAAAACATTGCATGTAGGTAGTTATCATAATTAATCAAAATACCTTATATTATCATAGATATAAATCATATACCTGGTTTGAGGATAAATCGTTATCGTTACGCGATTTCATAAAAATTTTATACTCAAACCCTCAAAACATTTTTCCTATAATGACGCTTCAAACTTTCTCTATAGCTTTTTGATGCAAAACTTATGGAAAACTTAGTGTTGAATTTTTTAATCTTATATATAAATATAAACAATTTTATGAATTTTGAACAACAAAATAATTTGCAAATATTCATGGTTTTGGCGAATTTTTGTCAATATTTGAACTTCAAATGCTAATAAAAAAAATTGTGCCTATGTATTCTTATAATTTTTTAATCACTATAAGAATAACTTATGAGGAACTTGTGGCGGTTCTGGACCGATGCCGCGATTGTACCCAACTATTATTGGAGTTTTTTGAAATTTATTTTGTTTAACTTTTGTCAAATTAGTTTACTCATAGCATAATATGTTGTATAGTACCACTGTACCCATATTGTTTTGTTTACATTTTACATATTATTAAATGGTAATTAATTATTAAATTAAATTTCTGTTTTGGTATGGCTACCTACATGCAATAACCTAATTCTACATCATTAAATATTATCATACATTTTTTGTGGGTTGGCTAAGAGCAATAATTATATCATATGTTAAGTAAAATATGTACTTATCTAATGGATAATTGAATAGTAAAAAAAAACAGACATAGTATAGTACTATGTACTGACGTCCCGCTAAAACACATAAAACCGCATATACACGTAAGTGTCCTTGGGGCGTACGATTTCGCCAACCAGTTATGTTAGTGTAGGACCTCAATAGCTGTGTCGAAGGCCGAACTCCTAGACTTCTCGAAATTCGACATCGTAAAAGTTAATTCTACGATATGTTAAATATGAAAACCAAGATGAGATCGTAGTGTCAGCGTCGTTAAATTTAATTCTACGAAACGCTAAATATGAAATCGTAGTATAAACGGGCACACCTAAAGAGTGGCTTAAATGTCATCTGGTTATTGAGATTACGTATCGCGAATAACCAGGATGTGGACCGACCGGTCACACGAGCGTGGGAAGCTGCGATTACACGCGTACGCTTTTGCGCGACTCTGCCATGGACACATACTTATTTTATCGATAGGAGAAGAAACGCAGAGAGTAGGACTATACGGACTATATAGGAGAGCCCCGATTAGACCCAATTCAGACGTGAGCCACCAGAGTCAGTGCAAGCACCTTCACGCCAGACACCAGTCCAATTTAATTATTCGGACTTAGAATATTTTCAATTAAATCATTTTGTGCAGTAAAAGTGCTTTATTTACATAGTAATCAAATAAATATCTAATAATTAATTACAAATTAAGTTGTTATAGGTACTTATTACACTCAATCCATCTATCTCAATACCAGTCGTTTGTCCTCCTGTATGCTGGGACGCTACAAATTTGGCGCAGTCGGTAAGATTTTCCATCAACGGGAAGCTGATAAATTTTTTGTTTTCAACTTCACGGAGGCAACTCACCCAAGAGTCACGGTTGTAGGATTGATCACCTTCTAGCAACTCCGGAAAAATTAGAGAATCTACGTAGCAAGCAGCTAGAGCAGTCAGGAGAGCAACCAGAGCAACGATGGAAGCAACTCAAGCAGTGACAGTATTGTGAGTTGTAATTTAAGTTTTGGGGTATTTATGTAGGAATTTTAATTATAAGGCTCTTATTAGGCTCTACGTCTCCTTTGGATCTGTTAGGACCATCGTATAAAATTTATTGTGAAGGTGTATATATATATATATATATATGTTATCTACTTAAAGAAATAATATGGTAGGTAATGTATAAAGTGTAGGAAAATTTTGAGTATATAAATGGAATAGTTACATAAAGGTACACTACAGCAGCGCATCCAAATTGGGAAGCATCGCAGAATCCTAACAACAGACATGGGGCGTTGGACCGCGTGCGGAAGTACCGAGGAACTCGAATCGGAGGAATACATGATAGTGATTCGACAAACTTGGCCCATTCCTGCCCGATGTCCCGAGGCAGCGGGTCGTCCCATCCGAACTTACCGAACCAAGTCCGTTGCATGATTCTCTTTGCATAAAAAGTGGCCGGTGAGAAGAGACCCAATGGATCAAATATACGAGCGATTAAGGACAATACCCCGCGCTTGGTGAAGACCGGTGGCAAATCAAGTTGGAGCGCGCACCCAAAACTATCTTCAACTGGCTTCCATGCAAACCAAGAACTTTCACCCCACAGCCGTCGGAAGGGTCGAAGGGTAACGGACCTGTAGCACGAGCGGACGCGGGAACTGCGTCGAGGACATCTGGACAGTTGCTAGACCACTTTTTCAGCTCTAAGCCCGATTTGCTGAGAACTGACATCAAATTCCGTTGGAGTGCGAGAACGTCGACGGTGGAGTCTGCCCCGACGCAAATGTCGTCAACATAGGTCTGATGCAATAAAGCGTCCCGAACAGCGTCGTGACCTACGCAGTCTTCGTCGGTGATGGCGGCTAATACGCGAAGTGCCAAAAACGGGGCGACAGTGCTGTTGCCCAAACAGAATTTAAATGTTTTATAGTTTATATCATATGTATTAAAATAATAATTTTTTTAAATAATTGCATGTTTTAGTTTTAAGTTTTAATTTTTATGTTAAGTATTAAATATATATAACTGATAACCTATGTATGTGGTGGTATAACATTGTTTTATTTTAATTTAAGGTTCTCCACCGTAATCAGTTAAAGAATTTCTTTGATGACATTCAAGAAAGTCTTCCGTCTTATTTCTACGTTATTCTATAACAATATTTGGTAAACAAAAGTATTTAAAAAAAAAGGTAAAAGTATTCTTGAACTATTATGTGTAAGTATGGAAATTCAACTCAAGTATGTATTTAATTTATATAAGGTGTTAAATTTTATAATTAACAGCCCATGAACATTTTAAATAACGCTAAACGTGATCTGCTGAGTGTAAAATTTGCTACCTGTGTTACGCACTCGTTTGACAAAGACAAACCCATGCGGGTTTGGCATCCTCATAATCTTTATTTTAGGTTCTGTTATAATTATCATGTACTTATATATCTTTTGTTGTATTTGTAACTATTAATTTAAATGTTAAGTACATAGGCGGAGATTTGATTGAATTTTAGGGGGGGCTTAAATGTTTCTTAGCAAAATAAATACATATTTTAATATTTTATAGTATGAAAAAAGTTTAATACTTTGGGGGGGGGGGCTTTCGATCTGTTTGAGGGGGCTAAGCACCCCCAAGCACCCCCCTCAATCTCCGCCTATGGTTAAGTATTGATTAATATCTAATAGCATCAAAGACTTTTTGCCACAGACCACAAACTTGCTCAAACAGAAAGAAATCAATTCATGTAAGAAAAGTTAGGTATGCTTATAATTGTGTCACATCATACGCCAAAGCTACAGTCAACATACCACTAGATGATCAGTCAGCTCAAATCATCCATAAATTTATAAAAGACTTCAAATCCATTTTAAATCCACTCTTAATTTCTATAACTTCCCTCATTAACAAAATTTCAATTCCTATAATTTCCACTCCCTATAGCACATTTCATCTGTTAATTTTGTTATTTAACATAGTTATTATCTTATTATCATATTAATTGTATCATTATTTTGATTATGACTATATCAATATTATGTATATAAATGCAATAACTGTCGAGCTATTATAGTTATTATAGTTATTACTGAAACACTGAAAGCTAATAAAAGAATTTAAAAAAAAAATTGGATCACATTATATATGAATTAAGTTTAAATTTGAAATAAATAATTACATTTTTTTTGTATTATTGTGTTTGTTATTTTATTATTTGGAAAAAGGTAAACACAAATTATTAAACTTTAAGTTTATGAATATAAATATCCCCAATATAATATTATAAGTATCCCCAAAAAGGTAACTCATAACCAGGGCTCATTAGTTCTAACATTTCCATTTTTTTTTTTTGAGAGGGAGGTCCTAGATATATAGGATATATATATATATATAGGTCCTATATGAACTATAAATTCAAATGTTTTTTTTCGCATATTTTAGTATTTTTAGTGCATATTTAATTGCTTATATGAATATTTTTTAGAGCATATTATTGCACTTATAACAACCTTTTTTAGAGCTAAATGTTATGAGCCTTGCTCATAACTTTTAATAAATTCTACCATAAGTTATAAGTGTAACACATAATACTTAAATATTATGATGAGTATGGTGACAAAATATTTCTGAGTATATAATAATAAATACTATAGTGCTATAAATAATTATTAATTTATTACTCTGGCATATTCATGTATATGTCGTATCAATGTTACCGTACAATACATGGACAATATGTTACATGTTTAATATGGCTAACCTGTAAAAGGGAGTCAAACTGCACTACAACTATTTTATGGAACAGCCTCTCTATGTTACTCTATGGTTGACATCCGATGGTGCTACAATTGTCCCGGTACGATAATGAGCAGCCTGATGAAGGTGGTTGACTGGGCGGCAACGTCACACCACAACGTCGACTTGGACCAAAAATGTTACAGCCGATGAGCCGACGGACGGCCAAACTCAACACGTGATGAACGCGGCGGATCGCACTGCGCACACACAGCGGTCGCCCGATAACGGCGGAATACCGCGGTTTTGGCACGGGCGGCCACAACACGCGATTTGTGTGTGCAACGAGGGGCATGACACAGAACAATAAAACGGTACAGAGCCACAGACGGCTGGATCGCACGGAAAGCCAAGATGGCGTTATTGACGACGACGGCGCGCCGGTTCGCAATAGTCACATAAACACCGGCCTACGGAATGAAAGACGGCTCAGGAACAGCGACTCGCGACTCGTGACTATTATATACGACTGAAAAGCACGGCCGCGGGCTAGCGAGCGTGCGGCGGGGTAACGATCGTCGGCAGCACGCCGATACCGGTTCGCTCTCCGGGGATATCGGAACGGTCGCGCGGTGAGTGTGGTAACGAAGATAACGTAGGGTAAAGTCCAAGACCGGCATCTCGTAACGTACATAATGATTGAAAAAGGAAGTTGAGTTTAGTTTCTATAATTAAAATAAAAAAAATAATAATAAAAAAACTGTACTTCTATCAATTAATATGATAGTTTGAAATAATAATTACTAATTAGAATTTGTTAACATTGTGATTTTCAAAAGTTTAAGATGATAGAGTTTAAGACAGCAGGACTAAATGTCGGTTAAAAACATTATTGAGCAGAGCAGCTGTATTAGTATCAAAAAAAAAATATAAATATTTATAATAGAATTGTTTTGATTGACAATACCCTAAAACAGTAATCAGTATCAATGTTATGATTCCTAAATGTAATAATATTATTATCAAATTAATTTTATAAAATAAAATACAATAACAAATGCAATTTTTTAATTTTAAATTGTAGAATCGACCACACAATGTTGTTCAAGACATCGATTTATTTGCATTTAACTAATTAATATTATTACTGTTAGGAACAGAATACTTATCGAGACGAAAAAAGTATACCATAGGTAAAGCAAAAGATTAAAAGAGGAGAAACAAACAGTCAATTAGGATAAAATGGTAACACAAAAAATAAAGATGTTCTTTATTTCTTTGGGATGTTTGGAAGAAGAAGATTTTGGGCGAGGGTAGAGCAGAACCACACACATTTGATGGACTATAAATTATAATTAATTAAGASTGCAAGACAATCGGAACTGGTCCAATTGAATGCTCCAATGTGAACGGCGTAACCTGGTAGATAAAACAACGATTACAATATATAATTTCAATATATCAATTGAAGCATTAACAAAATCACCACAGGTATTTGAATAGCACATTTTTTAACAAACCCAAATTCTGTTGATTATCGTTGCCACAATTAGAATTAGACATGAGAAACACTGATTTAAGGATATTACGTAAGTCTCCAGCAAAATTTGTCTGCAGTTGATCGGCCACTCCCGATATGCATACAAACAGACGATGTAATAAGTCTTCATCAGATCTAAAAAATAAGAACCATAACACTATTATTATATGCAATAATTAAATATACAGTTATTATTCACCTGAATTTAGCACGAGCTTTTTGTCGACGTAACGAATAATTACAGGAACTGTCTGCTGATGTGCTGTCAGTCACGCTCTCGTCGCTCTCATCTGCCGATGAAGTCATACAACTAGAACTACTTGAACACATATCATGTTTTTTGATCCTGAAAAATTAAATGACACAATTATCATTATAACTATGTCTGCAGGGAGAGTTTCATAAATATTTATGTATATTTATTATTAAAATTTCAAATGATTTTCGATAATTTAGATACATCAAAATTGAAACTCAAACAAGCAGTGTCAAATTAATATTGTTAACATTATGCTGTATTAGAAAGTGTTATATATGTCTAAAGCATAACATGAAAACCTAATAGAAGTAGTAATTTGGCACTATTATTATTACTATAAGTTATACTAAACAAGAAATGTGATATATAAGTGTTAGTATAACAAAGCAGTACCAGTGGCGTAATTTGGCCATGTTTGTGGGGGGGGGGATAAAATATTTTAACATTTTATTTCAATATATACATTTATATAAAAAAAAAAATAATAATAATATTAGATAATGAAGTACATAGGTATGTAGTTAATCGATCTTAAAAAAAAAGGTGGTGGGGGGGATACGACACCCAAATCCCCCCCCCGTAATTACGCCACTGTACAGTACATGCGGGTATATATTCTCTTAAGAGCTAAGAATAATCTATTCAATATTAGCAGATTTTATAAATAAGTATTAAATATTAATGATTCAACATGAAATATATCCAGCGCGACGGTAGTGGCGCGAAGCTAAGTAAAAAAAAAAGCGAAGCGGTCACTASCGTAGTATATTACACGAGCCAGAGTTTGCCCATTGAATGTGTGTAAATTTACCCGTTTTCTTTAGCCAGGGCTACAGACCTAATGAATGAACGGATTGGTCTGTTTGTGGTATCAATAGATCGGGCATGATTTGTAGATTATACCTTTGTAATTTTCGAAAAAATTGGTTGAATAATAACGAATATATTAGCAAAAAAATCAAGTATTTTGTTTGATATTGTGCTTGACCGGTTAATGTTTTAGTTAACGTTCACTAGTGAATGTCGACATTTATACAACGATATTGTTGAATATTAGTAATGTTGATATTATTTAATCTAATTTAGGAATAACGGAAGGGTCACAATTAAAAAACAGTATCTTATACTATCTATAGTACCTACCTTGAAACGGTTCGCCCGGATGGACGGCCCGTGTCTTAAATAAATGTTAGACTTTGGTTTGTTTTTGGTAATTAGGTATTTCTCTATTTCTATTTATAATATATATATATATGTACAATGTAAGGGCGAGTAAAGCGTCGATTTGTGTCAACCAGACTTATATAAGTGGGTCGACACAATCGGGGGCGCTTGGGTAGTAGTCGGGTAATTACCGGACTCTATCAATACAATATTTGGATTTGTTTAGTTACAAATATTGGGCTCGGGAGCCGGCCGTCGTCGGTACAAACTTAGGTAAGTGGTACCCCGACGACGAACCTGGCTCGGGAAGGTCAACTTAAATAAGTGCCYTGGGTGGTGAAAGTGTTGGCCCTGAAAAGGGCCGTTTTATTGAAATCCGGACTGTTCTATTGGCCGCGGCACTAATACACGCCGTAGAGAGGCGGTTTGCGCTGGTGTTCGTCGGTCGGACGATGCTCGAAGCCGTGGAGTGGCGTATCGTCGTCGAGCTGCGGGTCGGCACTAATGTTCGCCGTACAGCGGTAGTTGCGCCGGTGTTCGTCGGTTAGACGATGCTTGTAGCCGTGGAGCGGCGTATCGTCGTTGAGCTGCGAGTCTTGTTGTGTGGTCCGGGTCTTCGATGGTCTGAACTAAACTGGATCGTTGGTAGTGTAGACGGTTTGAAGGTTTGAAGTGGACTGACTAGATTTGCTTTGCTTTGCTTTGGGAGGGGTGGCTATGCCGTTTACTATTCCAGGCTTGTGCCTCTACTAGTGGATGGATTTTGGGGTTGATTGGTAGGTTCAGTTATGTTAGTCAGTCCAATTTAATGGGTATGGTTTGAGTAAACGTTTGGTGGTTGGAGGGGAGTGGGTTTTACCTAAGAGGCGGATATGATCGTAATCGGAAAAAGAGTTATTGTAGAACAT